AGACAAATCTAATAGATTCTATACAATCATCACCACCAAGGAGAAGGACAAGAATAAAATTACCCACATGTCTTATTTAGCATCTAAGTAAAAAAAGTATCAGTAATTTATTTCCCGAGTTTTCAACTCGCTAACCAAAATATCTCTTTAAAACAATAATAGCAGAGTGGACCGTTGACGACCAACTGAAGTGACAGTATCCTACCGTTTGTCGAATCTGAGCACTTCACACATCAAAAGAAAGTGAAGCGTTTATACTGGGACTCGTTCCTGACTGATAATTACATACTATGTTAACAAGGGAATTTTCAAAGCGGGCACTGACAACGAAAGTGTACGGATTTCTCGTAGTCAGTTGATTCAAGTCAGGAAACCGACGAACCTTGATTTAGCCGTTTCAATACTTCTGATTCCAGTGAACAATAAAACCACATAGCAGGTCACTCATGATGTGTTGCCCCTTAGAAAGTTTTTCTGTAAAGAGTATGATTAATTTATTTCAACATACATATAATACTCACATTTATATTCATTTATGTTTACTCATCTGACGGATCCATCTCAATTTGTGTCAAGAATTCTCGCAGCTTTTTATTAGACTAACACTTTGACTTTGCTTTTTGTTCACTTTCAGCTCTTTTGGCTCATGTGAAACGTTTTGTCCACCCACCGTCAGCATTCCGGGACAGTCAGCTGTATTATCGACTCGACGATCATTTGAACAGTACAGCGCCGAACAACCTCAAGGGCAACATCAGGAAGCGACCCGGGCTACGTCTGCTACAGATGGGAATGAGGCTTACCAAGGAGAAGAACAAGAAACAAGGGGTTCAAACCGGTTGAAGTTTCCCAAAGAAAAAGAAATCGATAATTCAAAAAAGTGAGATGAATAACCAGTTCATAACCGCAGGGGTTGAACCACATTAATCGAGACAACAATAAGGGATCTGCCTTGAAATGCAGTAGACAACTGTTTATATGGTGCTTCAGCACTATATTGAATAACTCATTCTGGAAGGATTCTGCATGGAAAGATTATCCTTATCAGACGATATCTCTTTCCTATTGTGACTTCACTTCAGAGCTTTTTTACTCTATCGGGAAGGCGAAAACTCAAACTTCTTCCACATTTAAAAGTAATAAAGTTTTATCAGTAGATGTTTAACTGTTCCAAGTAGACTTTCTATGATGTACTGAATTCCCTAATCTATGATTCAAACGTGAGTTCAGGTGGACGAAATCGTTGTTACTCGTCGCAGCCGTTGCGATCAGTATCCCACAATGCATCGCACACTCTGAAATAGGATTAACATACAACTGTGTAATCATTGTACACTTTACATTTTATGAGCTTAGGACGGAATCAGCTTTTATTCCCGTATTTCTTTTTCAACTCTCAAATGTCTGTGGTATTTTACTTTAGAAATGATGTTTAAATTCATTCAGCAGTGCACCAACAATATTCCGAGTTAATTTATCGAATTTCTCTTTCTGTTAGGTTTGGGCCAGGTGTTAATCAATATCCGAAGTGGCTTATGGTGTTAAAAGTACGAATCGTGTGAACCAAGCGCATCAGATTGACCTTATTTCTGTGACCAGTGACAGCGCTCATCGAAACAAAGTTATTCAACCTTACCACTCACTACTTCAATAAGAGAGAAGAATTCGAAAACGTTTGAAAAGAATCGTTGATGTGCATTCTAAGGGCAAATGAACTAGTTCAATGTGAATGAAATCAGAACTGAAAACCTGGGTCACACGGATTAAATGGAAGGTTTCTACGATGTTTTTAACATCTGTCTTATTACTTTGATAGTTTGTCTTATTTGAGAAGAGTGTAGTAGTCAAGGATGTAATCTTTGGATGAGTACGGTGGCTGGCTTTCAAATTAAGATTCTGAATGTATCGCCACTTGTTCAGCAATGGGCGAAATAAAATAAGCGCTTTTGGAAAGATATTGATGAATCGGAGTTTCTGTTACTTGAAAAAAGAACTTCCTATTGGTGTATAAATTATGGAAGGAAGAAACCAAGGAATTTAAAGAAAACAATGCTTAAGGCCAACAGTGAAGCTAAGAAAGTTCAAGTTAATATATTCTTTATTATATTCTTTACAGTTCAAGAAAATTTCGCACATAGCTTAAGTGATGCGTAAGTGAATAAATTGAAAACTTACTCATCAGTATCGAAAAGCAGGAAGGAGTTTATGCTCACTTGTTACTTAAACGAGACGGCGAAAGTATTCACCTGCTTTTATCGTCAGCTAATTGCCTAAGCAGTATCAGGCTTTTCCGTCGATAGATGGTGCATAATTTTCGTGAGGCGTTAACTAGACTAAGAATTTGGTTGTAATTTCATCAAAAGGAACCTTTCATTGTCCCTCATCCTGAAACCTATGGTAGAGGGACCACCTCCGAGAAGGAATTCAACTTATCGAGGTTGGAATAAGGTGTCACAGCTTCCTAGTGAATTTGACCTAGATATAATTTTGTACCATATCATCACGGAATAAATGATTGCTGCTTGGGTCAAATCTTTGAGTGTGCCCAAAACCCGGGGCCTCGTCAGAAATGCTTTGTTCAACACGACTTCACTTCCGTGGGAAAATATTCTGTATGTTGTACGCTTGAACCCGCCTACCGTTATTCCATTTGGTGTAACTAACTGCAACTCACTGTAATGTTCATTACAAAACCAAAAGTAACTTTAATTTATATCAGCAGAATAGATGAGAAACAGTAATTTTTTAATCCTTTTTGATGTTTGATGTAAGCTCCGTTTCTTTGGTATTACCATTGAACGATCGTTGCATTTTTGTAGATCTCGAATTGATTCTACGGTACATTAGTGTTCTTGTTGCTTAAGAACAATTGCCTTTCTGGATTGCTTATTAGAAAATATGGTGATGGAACAAATGTTATTGAAGCCAATATATACTTATAGCAACAAAGCTCTGAAAACGGTTCTGGTCATATAAAATTTATTTCATCATTGCTTCTTCGAAAACATCGATTTATTCGTTTAAATTGATTTTCTGTGTCTTTTCGCGAGAAACATTAAGTTCACCTAGGCGCTTCGTTACTTTTCTTCCCAAACAAAAATTCAGTACCGTTGGACAGATACAAATATGCGAAGTAGATCCAGATGGTCGATTTCTACGGATATGGAATTCCAGCCACAGAAGTGTAAGTTTTCCATTGTATAGCATCCATCTCCCCGAAGATGATGATGAAATTTATAGTTTGCAGGCCAAAAAGACTATGATTTTTAGGCTGTTGTGATTTTCAATGTGCTCACTGAAAGAAAACATTTAACCCAACTAATAAGTTTACTTTTCCAAGAAATTCAGCAATTGATGATATTTGGGTGTTGAACGGAAGACGGAGTGGACCCGAAGACCAGCTGTTCCGTGATGGAAACTGGTAGCCTAAGCCCCAGGTTAAACCCCGCTAGGTTAGGCGTGGTATTGAACCGGACGACAGCAAAGCTGCCCACCACAAAATGATGCAAGGTAATGAAAATTACCGGGAAAGTAAAATGGATTGATATAGAAATGTGTCAGTGCAAGCACCAAGAACTGCTTCATAATCATCGGATCAGTTATAGCCGTAAAGGCAAAGAATCAAGCAGATTTAGAGTACAACAATAAATATTCTTCCCCATGGATTACCACGGTTAACTGCGGATGTTATCCGGACATATTATTTTGAAATATCGTTGTTTTGTTTGTTTTAGAACAACAAAACATTTCAGGAAGGACTCAATAATTGGTAATTTTATTCCTTTTTAGCTTAGTTTGTTCGTTTGCAAGAAGTTACATGGGACGATTGTAAGATTAGGCAGTCTGAATGATATTATGGGCTTTGTCGGTTCATTACCTTTTACCTGAAGGAATTCGATCTAAGCAGACATCAATTGCAACAGAAAATCGATGGAGAGCTAATCAATCGCTATCAATTTCATATGGGATTTCGACTGGGTGCTCGCACCGTTGTGACCCTGTGGGCAAGTTGTAGCTACCGATCCAGTCAGTTCAAGTTCCCTCCGAAGGACATTCAATGCTCAGGTGTAACGCAGTGGATTTATGGACCGTCTTGTACGACAATGCTCTGTGATCCATCCGGGCAAGTGTGTAAAACTATTCGGTTTTATCTGGTAATGAACTCCTAGCTACCTTTAGCAATTGCAGAATAACTAGTGATTTTAAAGTGCCGTCTAATCATTAGGAAATGATTATTTTTGTCTTAGTGTATTTTCTTTCCTATTTAACACAAAATGGGCCACAAGCCTGAAATACTGTGATACTTTTCACTCCAATGCACTATATAAATGAGTCATTTATTCTTTATATTATTATATTATTATTTATTTATTATATTATTTATAATATATTCTTTATTCTTTTTAGGTTGCATAAAGTTTGATATCGTCCAACAAAATGATTCATGAAAGTAGGCATTAGAACATTGAAAAAAAGATAACGAAAGCGATTCGTCATTTATAAACGTCAAATCGGTTCTTATTATTATTTAAAGAATAGCCACTCCATTTCTATTGTGCTGTTTGCTTAATTATTTCATTGCATGACTTTTAGGTTAGAAGAGTAAATAATATTATCGGATTTTTTTGGTTTACTTAGGGTGTTGTCGCTGCACTTGCTATCCTAACGCCTTTGATGAGTTGGGTGCTTATAATACATGCGATAGTGATATAGAGCTTGGAATAAAAATAGCTCTGTAATTGAAATATGTATGTTGACAAGTATAGACTGGAGGATAAAATTGTGTGGTCATGATTGGGTTGAACTGATCAACTAGTCTCCATAAGTGAAGGATTCATTTCATTTTAATTTTACTTCCTTTTACGGAGTACACAGATACAATTTTCAGGAAGGGGGAAGCGGACAATAAAAGAGCTGCTATACAACACGTATAATAAAGAAAGGCAGGCGGTGGTGATGGAGTTCGAACACAAGTACTCTGAAGTGATTATTGGTGACGTTACCACTGGGCCACCACCACCCATTGATCAGTGCCTCAGACCTGCATGCAATATTTGTGCAGGCTAATGTTATATAATAAAGCATTATTTAGTCTGTCTATGTTGTCGGCCATGTATCTATCTACATGCTTGAACTACGATCTGAGACAGCAGTGTTACTTCTATACTGTGTCGGCTGAGGGCAGAGTATTGTTTGCAATTTCTTGGTACTATCGACAGCAGTTGCTTAATGACGATGACCTCTTTAGAGCAACAGAAAGCTCTTACCAGAGTAAAGCTCAAGTTCATGTGAGTGATTGGATGAATCGTGTACTGTGCTTTACGAATTTTGAAGGACGTTCAGTTAAGAACAGTAACAGTACCTCCACACTACTACTCTCACAGAAATAAATTTCGAAGTTTAAATAATCTTGCTTGACAAAGTTCGATGTTGAACATACCTATTTGCAAAGCCCTTCATTCTGGTTAACCTCTTAATTATTGACAATCGTCGCGTAATATCTTTACCTTGCATAACTCACAAAAGTTTAGTGACCATTGTCCATAACTCCAAACGAAATTTGAAGAGTTTGACAACCTTTTTCAATTCAAAAGGGTGGTGTCTCAGGGTGCAGTCGAGCTGTTAAATTAAATCAGCTTGCTCATACTTTTTATCTACCGCATTTTGTCAAATTTATACTGATTTAGATTGGACTCGAGTTTCTCAGTATTTATTTATCGTTGTACAAAAATACACACACACACTCCTTATCTGGTTCCCTGTTTGGAAGGTGCTTGCTTGGTTAACGTCGCCTTATCGAGCTCTCTCGTGCCGATTGAGAATGCCCACCGAGCAAAACATGCAAAAGAACAGTCCATTGGAGTCACCAGTTGCTTTTCACGGA